TGCGTGTGTGTGTGTGTGTGTGTGTGTGTGTGTGTGTGTGTGTGTGTGTGTGTGTGTGTGTGTGTGTGTGTGTGTGTGTGTGTGTGTGTGTGTGTGTCGTGTGTGTGGTTGTTTTTTTTTTTTTCAGATCAGTTACGACGCGATGACGGCGATGCTGGCGAGGGCGTTGGAAAAGTTGTCACTCGCAGACACTAGAGCAGTGATGGGAGCCAGGATAGTGGGTGTGAGCGGGAAGTGAATGAGAACAGTGCGAGAGAAAACCGCACCGAGATAGATACAGCACGTGGGGTCTTATACACGCACACACACATGTGCACACACACACACATGTACACACACGTGCACACACACATGTACACACACACACACACGTTCACAAGTTGTACCTGTGAGGTCGCTGAGGTTGTATTGGTCATCGCCCAAGAGCTCGTTGTTGTCCTGTGGCACACATGCATATGGATGTAAGTACGACGATGATGCCTTGGCAGACAATGCACGTTGGGTCAATGGCATTGCACACGCCACTCGGCATGACGCGCGCGCACAGGCGTTCGACCACACGCACCCTGATCTCGACGCTTTGGATGCTATCCACTCCACTCATCTCCAATCGGAACGTCATAAAGTACAGGTAAGACGCCTCCTTTGGCCTGCACAGCCAAGGTTGCGTGGGTGAAGCGGCGGTAGTGAGAGAGTGTGTGTGTGTGAGAGAGAGAGTGTGTGTGAAAGTGAGTGTGCTCTGGGCGTGGGCAAGGGCGCTGGGCTGACGAGGACACACACACACACACACACACACACACACACACACACACACACATACACACACACACACACACACACACACACACACACACACGCACACGTGCACACACACGCACATGCACATTCACATACCTTTGCACGACGCAGCGGTACATGTCATCTGCCCGTTCGATGGTGATGAACCATTGCTCGTTTGTGCCGCCCACAACGGCGTACTCAAACGCACAGGTCACCTCGCCTGAATCATCCGGCTTCATCTACGAGAGTGTGCAGGTGTGCAAGTGCGTATTGGAGACGGTTTGACGAATGAACAATGCTTGTCACACATGACACACGTGGCGCACACACACACATGGCACACACACCATGCTGGCGACGGCTGTAGATGTTTGTCCATTTGGCTTCGCATCAAAATCAACCTGAAGAGTAAAATGCGTCGAGCAGTGAGTTTGCCATGCATGTGCACGTGTGTTTGGGGCGGCAAACACACACACACACACGCAATAAAACATCACACACACACACACACACACTCACACACACACACACTCACACTCACACACACACTAAGGCACGCACCTCTACTTGGTCCATGGATGCGTGTCCTTGAACAGTGTGGACGCAGCCTGCTGTCAGCACAAGCAAGGTGGCACACATCGCCACAGCTGCACTGAACCGACCAGCCATCATCATCACAGAGCCTGCAGCAAGGACAAGCAAGGGCAAGCAAGTGGTGTTGTGCTGCGTTGGGTGTTTGCTGGCTATGTTTGGGTGGAATTTTAGCAGAAAACATGGTCGAAACCTCTACATCCACCACGCCAAAAAACCGTTTGCTGAGAAGTGCCAGAGCAAGAACTTACTTCCTTCCTCCCCAACTGACACACGTCCTTCCCACAAACACAGCAGCTCATCGCACTCACCACTCACGCACCTCACACACCGCACACAGCATCGTCTGAGTTCCTGCTGAAGATCTGCCATTCACGCACGACTGCGTATTCTCTGCCTTTCACCTCGTCCACGTCGCCACAACAACAACAGCCGCCATGAGCCAACAAGACATCAACAGCTCTCTGCGCAAGTTCAAGCTTGTGTTTCTCGGCGAACAGAGCGGTGCGTGTGCGTAAGGGTCTTTGTGTATGTGTCTGTGTGTCTGTGTGTGTGTTTGTGTGTGTGTGTGTGTGTTTGTGTGTGTGTGTCTGTGTGCTTGTGTGTGTGCGTGTGTGTGTGTGTGTTTGTGTGTGTGTCTGTGTGCTTGTGTGTGTGCGTGTGTGTGTGTGTGTCTGTGTGCTTGTGTGCTTGTGTGTGTGCGTTTCTTGTATTCATTTGCCGATCTCATTGGAAATGACGTTGTTCTCCGGCTTCAACTCGGCTCGCAGTTGGCAAGACATCCCTGATTACCCGCTTCATGTACGATAGCTTTGACAACACGTACCAGGTGCGTAGCTATCATCAACCCTTTGCTGTGCCTGCCTTTTTGTCTGCCTGCCTTTGTGCGTCATTCTTGCGCGTGCGTGTGTGCGCGCGTATATGTACATGTGTGTGTGTGTATTGCGATGTGCCCGAGGGCGCTCAACGATGACCCACTGTTCCAACCAACACATGTGCAGGCAACCATCGGCATTGACTTCCTGTCCAAGACCATGTACCTCGAGGACCGCACGGTACGCGTTGTCAACATGTGTAATCTCTGTATCATCTCCACAGCACACAGGAGCATCCCGTCTGCACATCAACCAGATCCCCACATCCAAACACCATCACCAACAACAACAACAACAACAACAACAGCCATTCCTCTGCTGTTCTGACCCATGCATTGTGACTTGTGTGTTTGCGTGACCAACAGGTGCGACTGCAGTTGTGGGATACGGCTGGCCAGGAGCGCTTCCGCAGCCTCATCCCCAGCTACATCAGGGACTCGTCCGTGGCCGTCGTCGTCTACGATATCACCAGTGAGTCGGTTTGAACCCACGCGCCGTGTTGCCACCCTACTTCGCTTCCAAATTTGCTGTTGCCTTTGTCAGCACGCGTTTGGCACGTTTGCCGACGCATCTGCCTGTCTATCCACTTCCACGGCATCATGGCGCCATGACTGCCCGGCCGCATCAGACTCAACCCCCCCATGCTTTCAATCACCTGCCTTCTCTTCTTCCAACCGTTCCTGATCAACCGCCGTTCTCATCACCATCATCCTCATCCCCTCCGCCACCATCACCTCCTTCCCTTTGATCACCCTCTCCAAACCCCTGCAAGACCGGTCGTCGTTCCAGCAGACGTCGCGGTGGATTGACGACGTGCGGGCGGAGCGCGGCCAGGACGTCATCATCATGCTCGTCGGAAACAAGACAGACCTCGCCGACAAGCGGTGTGTGTTGTGTTGTGTTGTGTTGTGTTGTGTTGTGTGCGTGTGTGTGTGTCGCAGAACTGTGGCATGCCGGGTGGTATCGGGTTGCCTACGCTGTGGTCACCAGCTGCTGCTGTTTGTTCCTCCTGTTCGTGCGAATCGGTTTGCTTGCATGCACTGCATGCCATGCGTCTCACACCCAACCACCACCACCACCACCACCACGATGTCAATTGCCTGCAGGCAAGTGTCCATTGATGAGGGTGAGCGGCGTGCCAAGGAGCTGAACGTGATGTTCATCGAGACCAGCGCAAAGGCCGGACACAACGTGAAGGAGGTGTGCTGCATGCAATTCACATTCATGCACAAGCGCGAACACAAATGCCGTTGTGCCTGCTGCTGCTGAGTGCCAGTCATACAGAGCCTCCATCACAGACTGCTTGCCATGACAACCGAAGCCCCTCGGTCATCGCACGCCGTTGTCTCGCTCGCATACACTCGCATGAATACCCACTTATGCTCACACACGCACGCACACATACACACACACACACACACACACACACACACACACACACACACACACACACACCCTCTGGTCTGCGTGTTCAGCTCTTCCGCCGTGTTGCCGGTGCCCTTCCTGGTATGGAGGCGAGCGCAGAGAAGAACCTCGACCAAGAACGTGAGTTGCCAATGCGTTCTCATCACTTGCGTGAATGTGTTTGTGGAGGGTGATGGTTACCTGTTGCGCGAGTGTGGTCGAACCTGTATGACGTTTCCCATGCTGTACTACATCCTCGTACTACACGGCTTCGCTCACCTCAACTTCTCTGTTCGTTTTGCCCCTCTCTCTCACGTACACACACACACGCACATTTACACACACAAACACACACATTTACACACACAAACACGCACATACACACACACACACACATGCTCTCGCTCTCTCTCCCTTCCTTGCTTCCTCTTCCAGTGACGGATGTTAAGCTGACAGAGACGCCGGAACAGCCACCGCAAGAGGGCTGCTCCTGCTAAACCACACGACTCTGCAACCTTTCCCCACTACAATCCACGCAAACTCCCCTGCACACACACACACACACACACACACACACACACACACACACACACACACACACACACACACACACACACACACGACCCTAGCCCAACATGCCGCCACCAGCAATAGCACGACTTGTGTGCTGAGTGTCGCATGCACCTTTTTTGTTGTCGCTGCTTCCCCTTTCTTCTTCGTTGTTGCTGGGCGTTGCTTTTATTGAGAGAGAGAGCACACCGAGGTGCCATAGACCGAGAGATAAGAGGGAAGGGCACCATGTGTTGTTTGGCTGTCCGTTTGTGTCTCTGCCTGCCTGGCTGGTGTGTGATGGTTTAGAAAGTCAGTTGACAGTTTGTTGTGCGCTTGCGTGGGAGTGCAAGCAGTTGCTGTGTTTGTGTTGCCGAGAAATGAAAACAGTGTTCATAATTTTCCGTAACCACTGCCGAAGATGACAGCGCGACAACAGCGAAGCGGCAGGACTCGCAAACCTGCACCAGCAACCTCACTGTTGGCCCGCCTCGTTGCATGGGATGAGCAGCTCTCACAGCGGTGCGTGTGTGTATGCGCATGTGTGCGTGCGTGTGATTTGTGTTGGACATTCCGTGCATGCGCTCGTACCGTGCGTGTGATTTGTGTTGGGCATTACACACACACACACACACACACACACACACACACACACACACACACACACAAACACATACACACACACACACAACTCAACCACTGCACACAACTTCGCGATCGCACGAGTACAGGTGTCATGTGCGAGGCTGGGGATATGAGATGCTGTTCAAGGTGCTGGAGTGGAGTGGACACGGTGTGCCTTGGCTTGTCTTTGCTGCATTCCTCGTAGCTGCCACACACCCCGACGCCACAGAGCCAGATTCCAAGCTGGCATCGTGGCTAGCCCACGTTCCACATATCAAGCCCGGCAGCGTACTCGGGCCCTTGTGGGATGCTGCGAAAGTGCCCCTCATGACTCGGGAAGCCTTGCACCAAGCAGCATGGCAGTTCTGCTTTGCCCTCTTTCTTGATCTCGCGCTTGTGGGCACCGTCAAGGTCGCAGTGCGCCGTCGTCGTCCATCCTACAACAAGAGTGCGGTGTTGTTGTTTGCGTGTGTGTGTGTGTGTGTGTGTGTGTGTGTGTGTGTGTGTGTGTGTGTGTGTGCGTGCGTGTGTGTGTGTGTGTGTGTGTGGTTGTGTGTGTGTGTGTGTGCATATGCTCTCAAAAAGCTCGTGATATTTGTGGTTACACCCTGGTGTGTGAGCGTGTTCCTGTTCGCCTGGTTGTCCAACTTGTACACCACACCCTCTCTCAAGGGTGCAAGCTCACCGCATGTCCCTGTCGCAACACGCCATGCCTCGTTGCTGGGTGCCATCAGATGACATGATGGTGACGGTGCCTGTGGATGCATGTTCGTTTCCCCTCTGGGCAAGAC